GGGAGCCCCCATACACTATTTTACAACTTTACTGAAATTATTCATCAATATGCATTCATTTTATCTTTGTCTTCACTTGGGATTTTTTTGTGATGGTACTCACCAATACCAAGTACTGGCATCTTTTGGGTGGGGACTCTCCCAAGTCCTGATGAAGGAATTCTTGGACACAACTTTATATATGAATACCAGAACCTTTTTATTTTTACAAACAAATAAAAAGCCCAAACAAAAAACAAACAAATGATGGAATTAACTCCTGGATTAGCCTATACTTCCTGGAGAAATACTTTCCTGCCCAACTGTATTTTGCAAGTATGTAGAAGAAATAGCCACAACTAGAAAGGCAATGAAAGAAAAAAAGGAAGAAATGGGGAACAACTAGAAAGACAATGGAAGAAAAAAGGAAGGAATGGGGAAATAATGCAATAAAACTGCCCTTCTTGCTAGCATGCAGATATCTTAATCTATTTTTAAGACACTGTGTGATTACAAGTTTGTACAAACAGAAGGAACCCCCCCAGCTGTACCCATTTACTATATTGCACACTATTCTGGAGTGGCCTTTGATCTTCCAAAGCAGATGTTTGGGGGTACATAAGACTTGAGTGAGAAAGAGGCAGGAAAGTCCTGTTGCACAGAGCCCAATGTGTGGTTATCTGGATAAAAATAATAATTTGCTTATTGGGATTATGTACAAAGGTATCAGGAAGATGCCTCAGAGACTTACCAAAATTCATTACTAATCCAAAGTGTAAACCATAAGTCTCCCTTCTAGAATTTAGATGAACAAACATGCATCCAAAAAAATGTAAAGGTTTGGGGCACCATACCTGGATTGGATAGCCCAGAGACTGTCCACTATTGATAAAACTCACATTACAATCACAAACACCAACACTTGCAGGACATCACAGAACTCAGAGCCCAAATGTAAAGGATAGGGCTTAGGAGCTAACAAAGGTGGAGCTATTCGTAGCTCAAAAAATCTGAAACATTAAATATTAACTAACATTTTGAAACCAACAATTCAGCGATACTGGATGTGTACATATGACATAGTAGTAAAATATGTTCCTGATACATTGCTGCTTATTCTTAAGGAAGTAAAACTAGGGGCGTACCCAACACTCACAATGCAATCCTATGCAGAGTTACTCTAGTTTAAACCATCTATTTCAATAGGCTTAGACTGGAATAACTCTGCACACGATTGCACTGTTAACTGATATGCATACATGAGCCAGTGCAAGGAGATGGTATTGCAATCTTTACTCTGTGACCTTCGGTTACGTGGGAGTCTTTTAATCCTCTATGAAATGTCAAATCTGTCTAAGCCAATTTCTTTAAAAATCCTAATAGGGAGGGAAGGGTCATTAGACACAGGAAGATAAGTATTTAAGTGAACCAGTGCCAGAGCAGAGCCAGGAATTATTAAAGATTAACAGAGAGAGAGAGAGAGCGCGCCTACAGAGCACAAGTTGTACTGCTGGGTTTTTTGTTTTTGTTTTTTGCAGTGACAAGAGATGAGATTGCTTGCGTTACAACTGTGTTCATAATCATAATTCTATATGATATGGGTTGTCACTATCTCAGTCTTTATTAAAAATGGTCATAGACCAACACAAGTCACAATTCCCATAATTTACAGTAAATATAAGTACAATAAAGTAGGTAATCAATAATTAAATGAGCAAATAATTCTTCAGTACCTAAAACTTTCTGATGAATTTTACAAGCTGTAGTGCAAAATTTCACACTGAGAACTGTAACCTGTGGATTTTCACCTATAAGTAGCATTCTGGCGTACGTCATATCTGAACAACAAGGATATCTACTAAGCAAAGGAAGAATAAACTCTGAGTGACTCTCTTGGTAAAAAGGGCAGTGAAGGGAAACGTGTCTTATTCTTTCAGTTTCCCCTGTGCCACAGAGGCAAGACCTATCTACCATAGGGGCCTTATTGTATCATCCCTCCAGTACCACAGAGGGGAGTACTTGCCCTCTGGCAAGAGAGAATGCTCTCCATTGACTAGGAATCTCCGGTTGAAAGAGATAGTAAGTGGCTGGGGTGGCTACATGCCTAGAACTCTCTGAGGCCAGAAAGGTTGGTGATCTCTCTACATCGCCCTGCCACTCAATGTCCAACAACCTTTGCTTTAAAATTAGTTTTGCCTGATTGAACGAACCCCATTTCTAAAATGGAATGAGGGGAGAAGCCCAGACTCCTCAGCTTGTTATTTATTGCCTTTAACCACGAGGATTGGTAACTGTCGCTGAGATTCAAGAGAGAAGCCCTGAGGATTGTAATTTAGCTTTAGCTAAAGGTTAATGGAGGCAAGACGCACCCTGGCCGAAAGTTTAACTAAACCAGTTTCCAGGCAAAAATATGCATTAGAGACGCAGCGAGGCACTTGATGGGCTGCTCTTAAGAATTCTGATTGCACTCCATCCAAGGGTGCCAAACAGGAAGATGGAGGCCCAAGTGTTGTTCCATATAAAAGTTGAGCCAATGTTTTGGCCTGCAATAATTTAAGAGCAGCTGGTATGTGTGCATAGGAATTTGACAATGGCATGGGCAGATTCTTGGCCAGCATTGGCTATGTATTCAGAGTGTGCTTTTCTCACCCCAGAGGCTTGCAATACTACCTCCAGGTACTTAAAACTGGCCACCTGTTCTATCTTGTGGCCATTAATACTCCATACCCTGATTTTGGGTCTCTTGCCAAATGCCATGATTTTATTTTTGATGATTTATTACTAAATGATCATCAGCTTGTCACTAGAAGGGCATTATAAAGGGCTTGTTCACTATACTGACATAAATGGTATTCCCAAGAGGGGAGACACATAAATGTTGCTTTACTGACAAATTCAAAGGTGCATTTTCCACTTCCCAAGGAATAGAGCCTTCCTTTCTACAATCATTAGTCACACCCATAAATAATTCCTAAAGAATCAGACTAAGAGTGCCAATCTTGAGCAGAAAGTCTTTCCCCATTTTCATTTATGCACTACCTATACCACTGAAACTAAACATGCACATTTACCAACTAGAGTTACAAGTACCAGTACCTTCCCTCAGTGAAAAATAAAACTTAAAATGAGGAATTAAGCCTTGCCTCTCTTAGAGTCTAACACTTTCCTAAGATTTTTAACCGACTGGTATGAATTCTGACCCATTAAGCTGAACACAGCAAACCAACACTTTGATAATCTTTCCTGTACAGGAGGACTGCCACACATCCAGCAGGTTGCAGTACACAGATGGTGAACTATACTCAGCTTAGTGGATCATAAACTGTTCAGGCCTTTTCTCACAACATCCCTGCTCATAGGCATGGGGTCAGTAAGGCACTGTGGCTACCAAGTTTGGATCATATATCACCAGTTACAGTCCTTGCCCAGAAGAGATTTTAGATTTCAGCATCACATTTGCTTTTGAGTCACAATGCTGCAGAGATTTTTCAGGTGTACATCAGTTCAGATAGCCATCCTATGCTCATGTCCTTGCTAGTATGCTTACCAGTTATGATTATTAAAGTTGTCAGACCTCTGGGAACACTGATTAACACTCAAGTTGCTTGTACTGGAAACCAAATGAGCAAATCAGACTGACATAAGTGTGGCGTCTCTACTGGAAGAAAAGCTGCACACATATACACATGCATGTATAAATCAATCTGCCTTATGCTGAATCTGTTCTTTGGTCCATCAACTTCAGTGTCATCTGTTCAAGCTGGCAGTGGCTCCCAGGGTCTCAGGCAGAGGTCTTTCATATCATGTAGGCTTCTAGACCTGATCCTTAACTGGGCATGCCAGGGATTGAACCTGGGACCTTCTGCACGCCAATCAGATGCTCTACCACTGAGCCACAGCCCCTCATGTACTACTGATGTAGTGCATGTGATGCTATTGGAATTTAGCCTGTCATGATTAGAGGATAACTACCAGGAGTATGCTACTTATCCCTGCAAAATCTGTTACTTATAGTGATCATTTCACATCATTTTAATGTCAGGAAATGACTAGTAGTTTATTTTGTAGGGATTCTCCTCCTCTCCCCCATGCAAATGTATCCTAATGCAGCTCAGTGGACCAATATCTGATCAAGGAACTCCATGCAATTTAAATCAGTGTATATTTTAAAAAATAATAATAAATCTCCATGCCATGCCTGCATATATTTTTATAATAAGCAACATTCTAATAAATGGAAGGAACGCTGTCTATTGTATAATAAGAACACAACCCTTTTAATTCATCTGCATGAGGAAAGTCATAACTTCAACCCATTTGCCAACTCCTACAATATTGTTTTGCTCAAAACACAGAAGGTGCTGAATGTATACAGCATGCCTCCAAACCTCTAGCCACTTTTACATGAACAGCTAGTTACAGCTAGGGATCTCCACAACCTGAGCTACATAGGATCAGATTACAGCACATACACACTTAGCTTATTTGACTGCACTTAATTTACAACATAGCCTCCCTTTCTCCACACTGATACAATGTTAAAATATTTTCTTTTAAAGCCTGCATTGAAAATGGATTAGAATGCCATGAGCCACTGCATTCTTCAACTGCCTTTTGTCCTCATCACTGCAAACAAAAAGATACTGTCATCTTTTTCACCTTTTCAGGCTATCCTGCTGCCTTCCTACTGAAGAGGACATATAGGTTGCTCAATATTTTCTGAACAGTGAGTATGAAAAGAGGAAACAGTTCCACTTACCACTAAAGAATCAATTTAAGAGGCTTTGGTAAAGTAACAACTACAGTCCGTATGACTTATTTTCACCAGGAAGCACAAACCTTTCTGTAATCCTCTAGCTGTCCAAATATTTCAACAGGAATAGCAGCAAGCAACATATTGACAGCCCACAAAAGTATACAAGCTTCTTCTTCCAGAACCAGCTACCTATCACATATTTGCACCACTGTGCAAGAACACTCCTTATCGTGAGCAAACATAGTTTGGTTAGAATTTAACTTACCTTACAGAGGAAATAAAAACCAATTCCAAGTACTCTGCTATATACTAGCACTTGCTCTGCTCTTTTCATGACCTCCCACTGACTTACCTAGACAGGTAAATTCCTCCTCTACCTGTCATCACTCCACCCTGCTGCTGACTCCCAACCAATCACACATCCTCCTCCAAACTCCCCATTCCAGCTGTTCCGAAAAGAAGGGGGAGGAGAGATTAAAGAGCTCTTGGCCAACTACATTTTTCAGTTCTAAACCTTGGCAGCCAGAAGTGAAGCAAAAGAAGTAATTTTGTTAAGATAAACCCTTTTGACACTAGAACAAGACTGTTGTATATTATTTGAATTGTGCAGGGAATAGAGAAAGGGTTTCTGTCTTCCAATTGTCCATAGAAATGAAAATAAAAGCCATTTAATAGCAAGGAATCACATTAATCAGTCGGGGGATGGGGGCTCCTGCCAGGACATGATCCTCCGAGAAGCAGAGTGAATGTATCACATTTTGAAGAACTGATCATTGGACCTTTGCAGTTGCTGTCTTGGTTAGAGCTGCTCCCTTTCTGCCATCCCAGCTGCAAGGATAAAAATTCCTCTCCAGTCAGCCTGCTTAGATCCAAGCTCTCTTAGTAAGATGATTTGATTCATTTCCTGCTATTGTGCATGCAGCTTTCTGTCTTTCATCTGAGAACTTTTTGTTGTTCAGTTGCACAGTCAAGTCCGACTCTTCACGAACCCATGGACCACATCATACCTACTGTTGTATAATACTGAAGATACTGTGATTCAGGGGGCTATTGTTTCAAATCTCACATCAGCCGTAATGCTATAGGAGCCCTCAGGCAAGTTACTTTCTTGGCCTTGATCTCTCATCTGAATATGGGGATATTACTTGCCCCACTTTACAGGGCTATTATAAGACTTACTGTTACATTATGAATACTTCAAACAATTAAAGCTAAAATGCTCTTTTATATATTTACTAGGAATAAGGCTCGTTGTGGAAATAAATACAATGAGCTCTAGAAAGAGGCTCTGGGCGGGTGCCCTGACCTTGGGCACTCAGTGTCAATTCGCTGTGGTGACCTCAGCAGGGTATAATGACACAGAGCTTACCGTTTTCTCCAAGGGAACTGATATCTGCCATCTGAAGAGCAGTTGTAATGCTGAGTGATCTCCAGCCCTCCCCTGGAGATTGGCAACAATGGTTCCCCAGGAGGAAATAGCTGGCTTGGAGGGTAGAGTCTATGGCACTGTACCTGTCTGAGGTCCCACCCCTCCACAAACCCCACTCTCTCCAGGCTCCATCCCTCAAATCTCCAGGAATTTCCCAACTTGGAGGTGGCAATCCTATCTTCTTCCCAGCCAGCCATCAACCTACCATTACCTGCCCCTCTAACTACAGCTGTCATCTCCTTCCCCCACCACCACCTGCAGCCTATCTCTGCAGTGGGGACCCAAGCAGGAGGGAAGCGACCTCAGCAGGATACAATGACACAGAGTCCATCCAACAAAGCAGCCTTTTTTCCAGGGGAGCTGATCTTTGCCATCTGGAGAATAGTTTTAATTCTGAGTTATCTCCAACCCTCCCCTGGAGAATGGCAGCAGTGGTTCCCCAGGAAGAAAAGTACACTGTTTCTCCGCAGTGGAGACCAAAGCAGCTTACATCATTCTCTTCTTCCCCTTCTGATCTACACAACAACCCTGTGAGGTAGGTTAGGCTGAAAGTCTGTGACTGGTCTGAAATCACCCACTCAGCTTCCACAGCAAGAACCTGAATCTGGCAGACCCTGCTCTGAAGCACTAACTGCTACACCTAGGGTAGCAAACCTCCAGGTGGAGCCTGAAGATCGCTGGGTATCACAACTGAACTCCAGACAACAAATCCCTCCCCCCCCCGGAGAAAATAACTGCTTTGGAGGGTGGGCTATATGGCATTTAGGACTGCCAAACTGCGGCGGGAGATCCGTGCATCGTCGCAGGATTGCTGCCGCGGGGGACAGTGATCCGCGTTACACCAGTGTCGCCAGGATGTGACGCTACGTGTCGCTCTGGCAACGGGGCTGTTTGGAGTCCCGTTGCCAGGGCGACGCATAGCGTCACATCCTGGCGACGCCAGTGCAACGCGGATCGCTGTCCCCCCGTGGCAGCGATCCTGCGACGACGCACGGATCCCCCGCCGCGGTTTGGCAGCCCTACCACAGCACAAGGATCTTCACTGTGTGACTGAAGTTAAGCTGCAGCAGCCATTTTCTGTCTGGCTTTGCCTCCCCTCGTAGCCATTTCCTGTCTGGCTTTGCCTCC